CTTATGTTCGCAGGACTCCCACTGTCTCCTCCACAGATGTTTTGCCTACCTCTGCACCTCTTGGCTCCCAATCAATTTCTGACACCGTGGATCACACTCCCCGTTACGCTCAGCGCACTCGGAAGTGTGGTGGCAGGTTTGGTTGGTCCAATTCTTGTTATTCTTCTGATTTTTGTTCTTTCCTAACTTCTATACATTCTCTATCTGAACCAATCTCCTATAAGGAGGCTATACTTGATCCTCTTTGCAACAGGCTATGGATGAGGAGCTTGTTGCGCTACATAAGACTCGAGCTTGGGAGTTGGTGCCTTTACCACCTGGTCAATGCCTTATTGGTTGTAAGTGGGTTTATAAAATTAAAACTCAATCCGATGGTTCTGTGGAAAGGTACAAGACTAGATTAGTGGCCAAGGTGGAGCCTATCTCAAGGATGTGAAAAATGTTTTTCTTCATGGTGATTTATCTGAAGAGGTCTATATGACTCCCACTCCTGGGTTGCCTTGTAGTCATGGTCATGTGTGCAAATTTCACAAGGCTTTATATGGTCTTAAACAGGTCCCGAGGGCATGGTTTACAAAATTTTCTTCAGTTATTTGTGACTTGGGCTTCTATGCTAGCGATCATGATTCTGCTCTATTCATTCGATACACTTCTTCTGGTTTCATTCTTATGTTATTTTATATGGATGACATGATTATTACAGGTGATGACATTGCTGGAATTCAGTTGTTGAATTCAGTTACAGAATTATTTTGAGATGAAAGATTTGGGTCCACTTCGATATTTCTTAGGGATTGATGTTGCTTCCTCTCCCAAGGGTTATCTTCTTTCTCAGTTAAAATATGTCTCAAATGTTATTCAGCGAGCTTGCTTATCGGATATTCGAACAGTTGACACACCTTTGGAACTCAACTTTTGTTACACTTCCTCTGATGGTTCTCTCCTGCCAGATCCTACTTTATATTGTACTATTGTTGGGAGTTTGGTGTATCTTACTGTTACTTGTCCACATATTGCTTATGCGGTTCATGTGGTTAGTCAGTTTGTTGCTGCTCCTACCACACTTCATTGGTCTACTGTTCTTCGGATTCTTCGATGTCTATAGAGTACGTTACATCAGAGTTTATTATTTTCTTCTTCGCCTCTGGAGCTTCGTGCTTACTCTGATGCGGACTGGGCTGGTGACTCTATAGATCGCAAATCACCACTGAGTTTTGTCTCTTTCTTGGTGATTCTCTTATTTTCTAGAAAAACAATAAACAAACTGTTGTAGCTCGCTCTTCTGCTGAAGCTGAATATCGTGTTATGGCATCCACCACAGCAGAGATAGTTTGGTTGCGTTGGTTGCTTGCTGATCTTGGCATTTCCTTGACTACTTCTACTCCTATGTATTGTGATAACACCAGTGCTATCCAGATTGCTCACAATTCGGTGTTTCATGAGCGCACCAAACATATAGAGATTGATTGTCACTTTGTGCGCCATCATCTTCAGTTGGGCACGATATCTCTCCCATATCTTACTTCTACTATGCAGTTGGCAAATTTCTTCACTAAGTCCCACACTATCGCATTCTTTCGTTTTCTCCTTGGCAAACTCTTGATGTTTGATGCTACCACATCATGAGTTTGACGGGGATGTTAGAGTATTTATATTATGGGTAGTTTAGGTAGTTTACATTATTTTGGTTGCCCTAATATATAAGGGCTTACATTGTGTATTTGAGTCATGCGTCTGTAATACAGATTGATGACTGTCAATAAACATATTTTTCCTCTTTCATTGATAAACATTAACATGTGAATCATAGAATTTAGTGGAGTTTGATTTTGTGTTTCTTTAGTGTAATTTGGTTGTTTGGAATTGTGGTTTATAATATGATTGTTCTTTGGTGTAATTTGGTTGTATCGGATTATATTTGTGGTTTGTAATATGGTAGTTGGTGGAATTTGATTGTTTTGGATTGCAGTTTATACTTTGTAATATAGTGTGGTATCTCTAAATATCATATTTATTATGTTAGTTGATTAATTTTATAAAGTTATATAGTGTTTTTAAGCAAACGGGTTAAATGGGTCTAATGTGTGGGTTACCGTGCCGGCCCTACCCAACATGACATGTTCAAAACTAAACAGATTAAACGAGTAGTGTCATATTATCCTTTTATTAAAGGGTTCATATTCGTGTTCATGTTGAGATTTTTCATCCGTTTATTAAACAAGTCGTATATAAATTTACTTATTTTTCACTTATCACTCGTTTAATCCGACACGGTAAACACCCTTATCAACAGGGACAGAACCAGGATTTAATTTCGACTAGGGCCAAATATTGTAATAATCAATAGTTTTTTGCAACCATTTTATTTAAAAAGTTATCATTTTTACAATGATTTACTTTTTTTCTGATGGTCATCAAACTCATCAAAGCAAGTATTTTCATTTGTTAGAGGAACGCTCATCTATGTGATCACAACTCATTTTGTTATTAAATGTCAAACAATTAATTTTTTTTGAATATTCTACTTGAAATATCCCACATAAGAGGTTTTTGAAAATCTAATGGGAAGCATAGAATTTTTTGAAAACTTAAGGGGTTAAAAGGTATTTTTCAAAAGATGAGGGAGGCCGTGGCCCCTGTGTAGTACTGTCCCTGCCTATCAGATAGACAGTTGTAAAATAGACTATGTTTCAAAGATGCAGTTAAAGGATAATTTGCAGAGACAAAAGCTAGATCAATTGCTTTCACAACAAACATCCAGATCTAGGGCCAGGTTACTAGACCAATCCAAATAATGAAGGTAACTCACCTTAATTTGGGTTCACGAAGCTGCGTTCGGTTATTGGACTTTTTGCTTCCTAACCACTGCTGCCTAGTTTGGTTCCAGAGAAGAAGACCTACAGCCAAGTCATTACTACATAAGAGTTGAGACAATTTGAATAAAAGAATATACTAGAATGACAAGAACAAGCAATCAGAAAATAACATGCAGGAGAACTGACTAGAGCCTCAGCTGATAAAATACTTGCAAACTATCAGAGGATGGGATGATCGTCAAGAAAGATCGAGATAGGATCGATATCCTCCCAGCAAGAGAGAGAGAGACTAAGCCTTTCAACGATAACCACTTTCAGCTTCTGATGTAAATCAAACTTGGGATAGTCTAGTCCCAATAAATGATAACTCTATATGATTGTTAATATCTAAGGAGCAATGAGAACTTGCCATGATTTATGAATTCAGAAGGTATGTTTGCACTGCTAGTGCCAGGAGCATCAAGGGTCTGATTTGATGTGCTGATTGATGAGATGCTTCCATGTGAATGAACTGCACTATTGTCCATGTCATATGTGCTGGTGGTCCACAAATCGTCTGATATGCTAGGTTTCGACACTGTCTGAACTTGAAGTTTCTGTCCTCTTAGTGGCTCATCAATTGAGCTAATCAGTTTGGGTTTCATATCCGACCCAAGACAACCACTGCTCTGTTACAAATGACATCAAGATTCTGTAAGAAATCAAATTTAACCACTCAAACTGACTCACACCAGACGCTGAAAACTAGTTATTGCTGTGTCTTAGGCAATTAGATAGAGAAAGACAAGAAATCAGAAGGTCAGACAGTTGTAGGCAAACTGATACAAGTACATTTAGTAATTTGACAACTGTAATCGATAGTCCAAAATCATCTAACCATCCCATTATTCCATTGAAGATTTGTATGCATTAAGCATTCACAGTAAGACCTGCATATTCTGTTTCTAACAAACTACCTACACTCTTCGATAACTTAGCCCTTCGCTGTTACATTCTTCAGTAGAACAAATAAACTGAGATATGTACACTAATTTTACCCTTCAGACATTATTTTCCCTATCCTGCAATTTACCTTAAGCTCCATTTAATTTGCCAACGAAATCTAAGCATATCGAACACAAACAAATTGGAATAATAAATTGCCCTAATTAAGAACCCGTAAAAGAAAATCCACCAAACAGAGCCTCAATGACTTGATTAAGCTACGGAATCAAAACAAGAAACATGTCAGCCATCGAAAGGTTAATCACAAATTAAAAATCAACCGATATATCTCTTAGATCTCAATCCCGGACAATAGATCCTCATAAAATTGATTTTAAAAACCGATTAAACAACAGAAATAACTGATTGGATAGATTAGATCGATATAATACATACCCCATGCATGCGACGAAGTGAACAATCCAAGCACAAAAAATCCGAAACGTAGCAGTTTTCCCACCATAAACATCGATTCCAGGAAGAAAAAGCTCGCAACGCCCTGCTATTCATCAAGATTAAATACAAAAGCTCAGATTATTATATACAACAAAAACACATACATACATCTATGTATACATATACATAGAGAGAGACCTGAGAGAGCAAGTCACGGCTTTCTCTCTCTCTGCTTCTCCTTGTCCTCCTTCTTCCCGGAATCGGTCGCCTTCTGAATGTGAATTAGCTTCTCTTCGAAGCCTTCTGTTCTTTCTTCTCCCCTATTAATTATTGCGGATGAGAAAAAAAGGGAGGCAACAAATTGAAAGCATTATATTATATAGGAACGAAAAAAGGGACGGATCATAATTGAATCATAAATAAGTGCGTCAAACTATAATTAAATTAATTAATTAAAAAATATATAATACAATTTATTTATACATTAATTATATACGATTCATATATAATATAAATTCAATATATAGAAGGTTAGTTGTACACGAATTATATTATTAAAAAAAAGTTGTATACGAATTACTAAATAAATTAAATATAAATAAAATACTATTATTTAACACGCACTCGTTAAAACATAGGAATAGAGATTGCCACGTCAGTGAAGGGATTGCCGTTGATTCTCTGACTTGGTGTTAAGGGTTAACAACGGGCCGGGTTTAATGGGCCTTGATGTATCCACATGTCAAGCCTGGGTCATCAGGAAAGAGAAATCTAGGCACACAGGCTGCCCAAGTGGCTAAAGAGCAAAAATTCGGGTTAACCCTAACACAGCATTATAGGTTTTTTTCAATAAATTTATTTTTAAAAACTACTCCGTCAATCCAACGAGAGGGAGACTAGAATTTTTCAAAAAAATAAAAGTAAAAATTAAATTCAAGGATAATATAATAATTTGTTTTGCCAATATAGATATGCACGAACTTAATAAATCATTAATGATATGTGATATGTATTTTATAAATAGAGCCACTGGCTCTTTTCTTTTTCTTCTTTTTTCTTTTTTATTTCCTATTTTGACTTTGAGTTATTCACACGTAATATGCTACTAAATTTATGTGAATGTTTTATCGATTATATCTATTTTCTCTATCATCTCTTTTTAATACGTTATCGCTCTCACCTCTCTTCATATATATAAATACGATTACAGTGATAGTAATAACAACAGCCACATATAGTAATAACAACAACCACAGTGACCGTCACAATGATATAATTATATTAACATAATAATAGCTATAATGATACGTATATGTATTTATTGCAATGACACCCACAATGTCATTCCAACTTAAAAGGTATCTCCACGACATGATCTTGCCATGATTTTCACCAGCAAGGCTTGTGAAAAAAGGTTTGATTGATTTTTTAAACCTTATGCTTGAAGATTTGACTGGAAAAAAGAATCTTGCATTAGAAAAGAACAAAATTTAGGACTATGTATTGTTTAATGGTTCAACCTTCACCATATATGTTATGCCCAAATGGTGTTTAATGAAAATGTGTGAATGAAAATTTAATCACTGTCATGTAAAATTTGGATGATGAGAATGGGCAATAACAATGAAAACTCATGATTAGACAGTGACACTATCATGATTACTATGTCGTTGTTATTGTCACTATCACTTCATTGTGTCATTATTACTATCATTGCATTATTGTCATTGTCACTTTCCATTTTATAATATCGTTAAATATATCATTAAGGATAAATTAGTAAATGTCTTTAATGACCCAAAAGAATGGTACTTGAACTTTATAGCAAAAAAATCGTTGGACCGGCCTCCAAAAAGTACAAAATAAAAAAAAAATTGGTCCATCAGGTCGTCATTCAAGCCAGCTCTTTGGACCATATGCCCTTAAGATTTGAACATATTCACACCCGCCAAGCTAATTAGTTACCCTTAACCCTACCACATGACAGGCAAGGACTCTCATTGGGTTGTTTGGTCCATAGAGAGTTTAATTTTAAAGCAATGCTATTAGGACATAAATTTTTTTGATAATAAACGATATGAATTTTATTTGACTTTAAATGGAAGCATCTTTATGGAGGACATTTGTAAAAACAGTGGACATTCCTCCATCCAATTACAAGAATCTATAACATTAATTGCGAATTTAGCTAGAGTAAGCACAACTTCATTTCCTCCCCTTCGAGTCCAAATCGCTGAGAAGTTGACAAAATTGTTAACGTGTTCCTTAATTTGATCGACAAATTTCCCACTTTTGTTAGATCCATCTTCTCAAGCTTCATGGCATCAATTACTACCTTAAAATCACCTTCAATAGAGATGCATTGATAACCTATCTCCACAGCCAAATTCACGGCTTTAGCAGCAGCCATAGCCTCCACATACTCCAACTTAAGTAGTCCCTCAATCTTGCGGCAATGAGCCATTACAAAGTTACCACCACTATTTCGTATTAGACCAAAAACAGTTTTTTAGTGTAAAAAAATAGAGTTTTTGGTCAACTTTGAGCTTAAATTAAAGTGGGACTCATTAGTTATTTCGAATAAATTTTTTTGGGTTCATATTCTATTCCGTGAGGAGTATAACATGGAATATTCACTTGCTCAAATCGAGTAAGAAATGAATGAGAAAATAGGCTCCAAAGTGACCATCTTGAAGAGTGAAAATAGAAGATGTGTAATGTGGGGTTTGACACCAATCCCACATTGGTTGAGTAATAAATTCAACATGGACATATATAGCTAAAGTTTGCTCTATGGGTTGGGCCCTAAGGGGTACCACAATTTTATAAGAGGAGCGAGCACCTACATGCCGTTGGGTCTATCACACGCGCGCACACGTCGCTTGGCCGGATCGGGCTCAGGTGCGGGTGTGCTTTAGACCAAACTCTATCTTTTTGAAACAAATTCATTTAATTTAATTGGGCATGAATTTCTTAACCCAAAATTAATTTCGGTATTTGCTCCAGTCCGAACCAGTTGGATAGTTCGGATTTGTTCCAGTCCAAAATTTTCAAGATGTGACTGTTCATGAAGAACAGTTATTTAAGGTGTCTACTGGCTGGGTCGGTTTTAGTTTATGGTTTGTTATCTTTAGTAAGGTGACTATCCGAAAAGTCATCAATGCATCTATAAATACCTAGGTCATGCATTCGTTTTATTCATTCAGATAACCAGACTGTTTTCGGCATTAAGTGTATTACATTTCGGCATTTTAAGGCAATATATTTGGAGAGTACACGACACAAGTTTTGATTCACTGTACGAACAGATTGAAGTGCTACTTTTGTTCGTTGAAGATCATTGTATCTTGGGAGGCAAACGCTCGAATTCCATAAGCACCGTGTATGAAGGCGAAATCTGTCTTAAGGACATAGTGTCAAACACTAGCCTTGATCTACTACGAGTTTAATAACAGTTCATGTTCTGCAACTGGGTTAGTTTTTACATTAATTTGGCATAGAGTTACGTATATCTATTTGTTGTAACTCTTTAGTGTTTACTGTAACTGTTTTGATTTGTGTTACGATTCTACAGTTCATATTTACTGTTTATTTTATTTTAAGTTACATGATATCAAAAATATTAATAAGTGATTTTACAATTTTTGGAACACCTCAAACAACATCTCGTACAATAACACCAATGCAAGAGCATTTTATCTCCTCACAGGTTGCACCATCGAAAATAATCTTTAGGGTTCCTTCACAAGAGGCACACCACCTTCTAATGCCACTTGGGAGATGGGGTTGGGCAAAGGTCCTATGAACCATTTTATTCAATACTTGACTATGAAAAAATTGTACATATTCACTAATTTGGGTAGGATTGGGAGAAGCCTCCCCAACCCTCACTTTGTTCCTGTTAAACCATATCGCCCAAGCCACTATGAATAGAAGTCCCATATTTTTCAAATGTGTTTGCTTAGGATGATCACACACCCAATCCACAAAAGAATGGGGACCTTTGGGGCATATAATTCCTACATGTTGCCATACCATTGATGTTATTGGACATTTGAGGAAGAGATGATTAATGGTTCTGTGTGCATCATTACAGATTGGGCATGTTGTGTTGATCCTGATTCCCCTTCGTCAAAGATTGCAATTAGTAGGTAGAATGTCTTTTATGGCTAGCCAAGAAAAATACTTTGATTTGTTTGGGTGCCTCAGATTTCAAATGAATTCTCCATACCAATGTTCACTACTACTGCTCGGTTCTTCTCTCTTCGTCTACTCACAGTTCAACCCTTAGTTTATAGTCAAATGGTACACACTTTTTGCAGTGAAAATCCTCAAACTTGTGTAGTACCACATAATTTTATTCTTGGGAAAGTGATCATAAATGAGAATAGAAGGATTGAAGATTGCACCTAAGTTTTCATTCTTTTCTCTTATTTTTATTTCTTGATTTTTTAAGATGTTGTTTAATATGAGAATGATGTTTTTCAATTACATTATAAACTAATTTATTAATAAGATTGCAACGGAACCTATGTCTAGTTCAATTAATCTACTCTCGTTTTTTGTTCTATTGATCGTACATGAGTTGTTTGTCATATTTTGTGCTTAATATATGATTGTGTGGCCAACAATTAATTTGATTCCTTAGATAAAATTGGGAGATGAATTCTAGGGATAGATCTGAATATGATGACATGCGTTTGGTTAATTCTTCTTAGGATTGAATTGTTGGGTTTGTGTATAGTATAGGAATATACTTATATGTCGTGTGTAACTTTTATGAGAGTTTGAACTTAATGAATCTATTCCAACTTATTTTGCATAGGAATATAGTAATTTAATTGGGAGAGATAACTTTATCTAACTATCAGAAGAGGTTTGATAAATAACTTTGAGTTCTTAGTTGACAACTTATTTTGATCAATTAACTGGAAAGAGAGTGGAAAGATTTATACGAAGCATTAGGGGAAGTTATAATCTTAACTTTTTTTATCCGGTAAATTCAACTCTTGATTATTAAGTTTAGATTTAGTTTTCAATTAGTAATTTCATAGTTCAATTCCAATTGTTTAAATAAACTTGAATTGATATAAAGTTAGTGCT